CATTGATCAGATGCTGCTGCTGACTGATCCATGATGTCATGTAAATGAAACATTTTCTACATATAGGTCAAATTAATCACTGCAGTCAAAAAAAGGTAGTCAAACTGAATTTTTAATAAACCAAAATACAGTTTCAAAGCAAATTAATTCAGATACAAAACTTTAAATTCAGTTTCAATTTAGTGAAATTTATTTTCAAACCAATGAATTTAATTTCACGTTCTGCACATTCGGATCCAATCTGAGAAATTCAGATTCACTTCCTGCTGGCACAGGATTGATCCCACAGTCTCAGAGTCAGCGCCTATGTGTGTTTTGTTCTCACGTGGATGAGGCCAAAGTTGTTGTCGTCCAGCAGGTTCTCGAAGGACTGCGACAGGGCTTTGTTTGGGGTGCTGACCAGCAGGCACATCTCATCATCAGGAGACCTGAAAACAGCCCACAGAGCGCCGTAAGGACCCCCGCTCACCGTGTGTTTGTGTACTTTAACGCCATGAGCAGACACCCGCCGCTGATCCAGCCTTTCACCGCAGATAAGAACTTTAATAAAGCTATCAGCGCTGCGGCGGCGAGTCGCCCACCTTTATCTCACTTCATCTGCGCCTCGGGGGACGCGTCACTGCCGCATGGATTAGCATATAAATGACAGGAAGGCTTTAAACACATGTTCAACTAACTTTCTGCTTCTTCCTGATGTTTCTCCTCCGTCACTCAAACGACTCAGCCTGACTCATCAATAAAACATTTTATTGATGAGTCAGAGAGAACACAAGAGCTTCCTCTCATACATTAAATCCAATCCAAGATGTATGATGTCATCACCTGAAACGTGACCACACCCCCTGAGTTAGGACTCCACCATCTTATAAATGTATGACCCCACCCATGAGTTATTAGCCTGGTTAAAACCGTCACTTTGGTCTGGACTCTCTGCTGTAGAGAAGTGATTGCTTGTTGGAGGCGTGGCCTCTGCTGAAGTTTAAAATGATTGGATCTGATTTACCCAATCGCTAACAGTTGGCCGCCACATACGCAGTGCAACAGCTCCACTGAGGAGGCAGCGAACCGGAAACTGTTTGCGCTGCGAACAACCCAACTGTAGACTGGACTCTTCACAGACTGCAGAGACGTCTGCAGACGCTGAGGGCTTCATGCATTTAATGAGGTGTTGAAGGGAAATTATGGAACACGTCTCGCTCGTCAAAGTGTGCTTTTTCTTTTGAAACTTTGTACCGATGTGTCCTATGTGTATGTTTGTTTCCAATGCTAACTAGTTAGCAGCTAGCGGATATCACTAGTTAGCGATCCAGGCTAAAAACAAAAACCCTGGTTCTATTTTTATTGTAATTAGTAATTAAAGTTAACTGTATTCGAGGCTACTAGTTTGTTCTTTGTTCAGAGTCACCTTTGACAAGTGACCAGCTGAGCCCCCGGACCGCTGCTCCACCTTCTCTGACATTGAACGGTACCGGCTGTCTCGCTATCCAGGTCAAAGCAGCCAGGTTCTGGCAGCTACAGGAGAGCTGCTCCTGTTAAATTCAGACTTTAAAGTGCCTGTGACGTCAAATTTTTGTAACACATATGAATGCATTTTTAGAAAGAGGACGTTGATAAAATACTGCAAAAGAAATTTCATGTCGCTGAGATGAACAGTTGTTGAGATATTTGCCTGTGAAGTAACAGGAAGTGATGTCAAAGGGGAATGTCAGTATGTAAACAGAGTGTTGTTTAAAAAAAAAAACAACCCAGACTGTAGAGAGGATTCTGATGTTTCTTTAGATTAGTTTGAGTCTATAGATGAAGAAGAGTTAAAGTTTAAATAATATTGTTTCAATAAACAAAGACTAGAGATTTCTTTGCTAGAGTTCCCCTTTGATGTCACTTCCTGTTTCACTTTGGCTGAGCCAAGTTGAAAAGAAAATATGCAGTTATAGGACAAAATGGGTTAAATCGTGTGTTGTTCCAACTTTCTTAAATACTGTTTTCTTTGACTTTATGTATTTGAAGAATATGCACGTCACAGACACTTTAAAGTAGTTTTTTAAATGTAGTTATATATTGTCTGACTTTTATTTTGTGCAATAAAGATACTATCGGCATTGCTGTTTGTTTTTCATTGAGTTTAAACCATAAGGAAAAAAAACAACATATTTACTCACAGGCATAAAGTGTGCAGCAACTGTGAGTTCATTTATAAGAAAAACACTTTGGATTCATTCACTTCCTCCACGAACATTGCTAACGGATAACTGCACAGAAAATCGACGCTGATGTTCAAAACTCCTCCTTCTGTTCTCTGATTGGCCCGACTGAAATGCTCCTGAAGAAATCCTTGAAAAATCCCAGACGGAGCAGAGAAGGAAACCAGAACTGAGAGGAACTGTGTGGGAAGGCCAGGCCCAGGCTATGATTTAGAGAACCCAACATGAAAGATCCAAGACGTTTGATTCTACTTCATAACCACGCACCGTTATGTTTAACCCCGCCCCCAAGAAAACCACACCTCCTGATACATACAACCACCTGTCCTCCAGGTGGACGTGTCCCTGCCGGTACTCACTCTGTGAGCAGAGCGAACCTCCTCAGGCTGTCCAGGAACTCTCTGCTGCCGCCCTGGTGGAAGTGCAAGGCAGGAAGTGAGGTGGAGGGCTCCTTCAGCTTGAGGATGATGAAGGTCCAACCTTCATCCTTCACTGTGACGGACCTGAGGTCGCTGACGCTGATCGTGAAGGCCCAGTGGCTCCTCCCCTGGCTGTGGCTCAGAGAGCCTGAGAGACAAGGCGCAGGGCTCAGAAACACGTTTCCTGTGTCGAGCTGCAGCACGGTGAGCGTCTTCAGTCGACAGGAAGTGGACGGGCTCACCTTCTCCGTTGGCGCAAGGCTTCTTCCTGAAGGACACGGCGTTCACCATGTCCCACTCAGTCTCGTAGCTCTGCTGCGTCTCCAGCAGCTGGTGGGACTGGGACTTGTCCCTGGGAGACTGGGCCCACTCAACCACCGAGCTGGAGTCCTGATGAAGAAAAACAAAGAACACACCTGAACGTCACCTGTCGGCTCGTCACGTCACACCGAGCGAAGAGAGACCAATACGGGATAAACCTTGTGTCAGCAGGAACTGAATCTGAATGTTCATAATTTGAAATAAAATTCATTGGTTTGAAAATAAATTTTACTAAATTGAAACTGAATTTAAAGTTTTGTATCTGAATTAATTTGCTTTGAAACTGTATTTTGGTTTATTAAAAATTCAGTTTGACTACTTTCACTTTCAGTTCCATAATTCAGGTTTTTGTGTCACATCCTGGTCCTTGAGAAAGCCAGGCAGAGTAATCAAACACAGATCCACAGATTTATGTTTCACTTTGGTGAAGTTTCCCTTCTGGATGTAACAGAGTTGATGCAATCCACTGTAAAAGTGACAAAAACACACAAAGTTATTTTATTGCAGTGATTAATTTGACCTATATGTAGAAAATGTTACATTTACATGATGACATCATGGATCAGTCAGCAGCAGCATCTGATCAATATGTGATCCATGATGTAAATCTGTGGATCTGTGTTTGATTACTCTGCCTGGCTTTCTCAAGGACCAGGATGTGACACAAACATCTGAATTATGGAACTGAAAGTGAAAGTAGTCAAACTGAGTTTTTAATAAACCAAAATACAGTTTCAAACACATTAATTCAGACACAAAACTTTAAATTCAGTTTCAGTTTAGTCAAATTTATTTTCAAACCAATGCGTTTTATTTTAAATTCTGCAGATTCAGATTCAGTTCCTGCTGACACAGGATTCATCCCGTACACCTACCTGTCCTGCACACAGCATGTTGGACGGATCCACAGAGTCCTCCAGAGGACGGTAGTCCACCAGGACCTCAGCGTCCTGCAGACCAGACAGGAACCAATCAACGAGCTGTCAATCAAACACTGAATACATTTTAAAACTGTGACACGTGACGTTTCCACTCCTCTGATCTTCAGTAAACAAACAGGATCACGTGACATGAGTGCGTGATGATGTCACACTCGGAGTCTCGTGACCCCAGAGTCTGATTCTTACTTTCTCCAGGATCCTGAGGGACCCAGAGAGCAGCAGGTCCTGGTCGGGTCCACCTTCATCTGGACTCGGATGGATGAAGACTCCTTCGAGCTCGAAGATCACCTGCGGGTCAAACAGCACCGTTCAGAACCGAACCCTTTACACGGCAACACAATTACAGTTCAACACGAAACACCACCGAACCGGATCAGAACTTTATTCGACTTGAGGCGAGACAGAAAGACCCGCAGCAGCACCGGGGAGGGATCCGGCCTGAAGCCGTGACAGCGGCGGTGTTTCTGGGCTTTCTTCAACCGTTACCCGGGTCTGTCCCGCGGCTCAACGACAGCCGGAGAACCGGGCCGGGTCAGACACAACCAGCTGGCGGTGACCCGCCTCCCCGGGCTGCTCCCGTGGTGTCGCTGTGTGGGTAGTTAGCTCCACAGCTAGCCCCGCGGCCAGAGCACCGGATGTTCCCGGGGACATCGACACCGAGGTCCGGTTTCAAACACCGGGTCGAGTTCGGTCGGTTCTAACATGTGTGCATCGTCACGGCTTCATGTTTTTACCTTCAGCACGGAGTCCGCTGCCATGTTGCTGCTCTCCGTGTGACGATGGCACGTCACGTGACAAGCAGCTACCAAAACACAACTGACAACTCAGCTTCCGGTTAGCACAAAGACAACAGGCTCACGGTAAAATGTTATTATTATTGTTTATTTTATTAAATGTAAAATATCACCTTTATTAGAACAATATAGAGCCTCATAGAGGGAATGTATGAATTATTAACCTTTAAATTTTGTTTTGTGTTCACAGCGATGCCAATGCGCATGCGTACATTCTGGCAGCCCCGCCCCAAATACATAGCCACTTCCGGTAGTCACAATAAAAGTAAACAAAGATGAAACATCCAATCTGAGAGTAATTAATAATATTTTTCCATCAGAAAATTATGTCATAGTCACGAATCGTAACAATTAAACACAAAGGACAGAAAATCGCTAAAAAATACCAAAAGTAGAGATGATTTTTTTTAAATTACCAAACATACAAATCATCTGGTTATCAACCAGAAATTAACATCAAAAGTACAAAGTGCCAGGGGTAATATGAACACATAGAGTTATCAAGTAGACAGGTCATAAATCTTGAATTTGTTGAGGATCTTCTTTGTGGGAAGTAGAGATGAATCACGTCGGAACTCGGAAGTAGGCGTGACGTCACCTTCGAGTTCGCCTCTTTGGAAAAAGATGGACGCTCGCAAGAAAGCCTGTGTTGTTGTTGCTCTGTCAGAGTTTATAAAGTTACAGAACCGTTTTTTACTCCACCTGAAGAACGTGTCGGAGGAGGATGAGAGGCGCAGAAGGTATTTTGTTGTTTCTTTGCGGAAAAAAAGAACTTAATTATTTTCAGTTTGTTTCCCAACATCACCTGGTTCAACAATAGGTAAAATAAATAGTGCATTGATGATGAAATGTTGCACATTATTTACCTCTAAGTCGAGTTTATTCAGTAAAATCGTGTAGATAATTGGAAAGCATGTGTTTATGGTCTTGTTCAATAAAAATGTTATATTTTGACGTTAACAGTTTGTCTCTGCAGGTTACTGATGATCCTGCTGGAAAGAGAGCAGATCTTCACGGAGCCTGGAGGTCGGTGGGAGGAGATGCCGAACGCAGATCCCTCCGCTTTCGTGCGTCATTTCAGACTCACCAAGACGCAGTTTTTCTACCTTCTGATGCAGCTGCAGGTTAACGGCTTAAAGGAAGGTCCGGCGCCGCCGGTTTCTGTGGCCAAGAAGGTCCTGATGTTCCTGTGGTTCATGGCCAACCAGGGCGACTTCAGCGACATGTCCGACAAGTTCGCCGTGCCGCCGCCGTCGGCGTACGGGATCATCTCCGAGGTTCTGAAGGTCATCAGCACGATGGGACGGACCTTCGTCTCCTGGCCCAGCGACGGTCAGAGGGCGTCGTCTGCCGCCGCCTTCCTCCGCCTCTCTGGCCTCGGCGGGGTCATCGGCGCCATCGATGGGTGTCACATCCGGATGCGGAGGCCGGCCGTGCGAGGAGGAGACTACATCAACCACAGGTCCTTCTACTCCATCCTCCTCCAGGCCGTCGTGGACGAGGGCGGCCGGTTCACCGACATTTTCGCCGGACCGCCGGGACGCGTTCGAGACGAGAGGATGCTGCGGGAGTCCACCTTCTACGCGGCGTGGCGGGAGAAGATGGGTGACTACAGGCTGCTGGGGGACGCCGCCTACGCTGGAGAGGACTTCCCGTTCATCCTCGCCACGAAAGCGGACGACGAGGCTCTGACGGAAGCGGACCGGCAGCAGAACGCTCAGATCAGACGGGGCAGGGAGGTGGTGGAGCGAGCCTTCGGGAGGCTGAAGTGCAGGTGGAGGCGTCTCCGGGATCTGCAGAGCGTCAGGCTGGACGTCGCGGTGATGACCGTGTTGGCCGCCTGCTTTCTGCACAACCTGAGTGACGGGACATCAGAGAGCTGCTGGGAGCACCCCGAGGGCTGCCCCCGGCTGGACGACCACAACGAATAAACGCTCCGTGCAAACGCCACGCTTCATTTCCTCAGGACTGGTTTCTGTTCGTTAGAGAGATTTTTGATTCTTGTGCTGCAAAAATAAAGAACTGTATTATTCTTCATTATTCTTTGTTATTATTAAAAGTGTTTTCAACTATTTACTGTTTCATTTTCATTCTTTCAACTCAACTGAGCTGGAAACATAAATAAAACTTTTAATGGAAACAACAGTTTTTTAGCTTTCATTTAAAAAAGTGTTTTTGTTAAATTTAATATGAAATCTAGTGTAATTTATCACATCAAACTGAGGATTAATCTTAATTATGTCAGAATGACCTCGGCACACACATTTTGATACCTGGATCATGCTGAGCGGGTCCAGGGACACGTCCTGATTTCTCTTCCTAATCAGAATAACTCGTTAAGATTCGACCTGAATCCGATTTTTAGCTGATTCTGTGAGGAATGTTTGACATAAAGAGGAGAGATTTGAAAGCTAAGAAACAGTTTGTTCAAATAAATGATGTAAGATCTGAACTCTGACATCACGTGGAGTTCCTCAGGGTTCTGTACTTGGACAAAAGTTATGTTTTATGTGAATGACTTCAGGGTTTAAATGTGTTTTATTTGCAGATGACACTACATTTTTTTGTTTTGGTAAAGATATAGAACAATGTTGGAAATGATGCGAACAGAATACAAACTTGGTTTAAACTTAATAAAAGTTCATTACATTTGACATTTCCCGCGGGTGTTCCCGCGGTGCGGTATTATGCTAAGCTATGGCGCCAGACACCCTCGCCTCCACGGAGTCCCCGTTTTTCATAGCCGCTACTAGCTCACTCGTTACACGGATGTGGTAGCTAGTAGTTAAGGCTTTTAGACATCGACTTTCCAGCCAGGACTGGACTGGGAGCTCATCCAGACCGCTTAGCTAAGACGGGTTTTTTTGCCCCTAGCATGGAGATGCTAGCTACAATGCTAGGAGTTGCTTACTCCAAGCTGAAAGCATGATATTCAGTAATAGAGGGAGAGCTGTTGATGTTTCATTTAGAGTTGATGATGTTGAGATCTGTAGAGTCAGTGAGGACGTTTTTCGGTGTCATTGAATGAAAACCTGACATGGAAAACTCACAAAAATTATTTAAGAACAAAAAATAAATCTATTGCAGTACTGTATAAAGTGATGAGTTATTCAGTCTTAAAAGGGTAGGGTGTCTTCTCCGGGTCGGGGAGGAGGTCCTGCCCCAAGAGGAGGAGTTTAAGTATCTCGGGGTCTTGTTCACAAATGAGGGAAGAATGGAGCAGGAGATCAACAGGTGGATTGGTGCTGTGTCTGTAGTGATGCGGGTGTTGTACCGGTCTGTTGTGGTGAAGAAAACTGAGCCAGAAGGTCGGTCTACGTTCCTACCCTCATCTATGGTCAGGAGCTTTGGGTAGTGACTGAAAGGAGAT